TAGTTTGCGTTCATTTCATTGATAAAAATGTATTGATTTATACATGCATTTCAATATAAAGTACAATTATTATAAAAATAACTAATATAAATATAGGTTGAATAGTCTAATTAGAGCAGTCCCGTTAGACAGACTAAGGAAATGAGATAGAAGCTTTAACTTGCTACTTTGAAATTATATCAAAGTTCCTAATGAATGCTCTTGTTCAAGCCAAAATTTTCATCTTTTCGACTCTCAGATCTCCGGGACGCAACTCCCTCTGGCCAGGAGCGAGTATGCAGGCTACTCGGCGCCCTTCGAGTGTTGGTTTAGGGCTAGACAATAAATCAATTGATGCTCACACTCAGACTACTGCACTTCTGAGTCGGCGGAGTAGTGTGCGGCAAAAGACAGTAGCCCATCGTCGGCCAAGTGCAGTTTCTTTGACTCCATTCAGTTTACGCATGGGCAATGTGGCACAGCCACGCATGTCTTTGGCAGCAACCACTACGATGACGCCTTCTGGAGTTAAATTCGATTCAGGACGCAGTGGATATTGTGAGATTATAGCGTTCTTTAAATAATCATTATGCTAAATATCTAAAAAGATTTTTTTTCTTATTTTACATCTTATCATTAAGGCTATTACTTTCTATTTGCTTTATTTTATTCTTCAGGCGAGATTTTTTTCTGCTTCTGTCATCGTAGCTAATGTTTCCTTAAAATATAGTAGCTAAGACCAAATTTATCAATTTAATTTAATAAGGTAGCTATGTATCTTCGTGAAAAAAGAGTGATTCTTATCTTCTTAAAATTCAAATATCAGGCCAAAATTGCCATTGGCATGATTATAGTCACTTTACAAAATTAAATTATAAACGTTATTTATTTTCTCCAAGAATTGCTAAACAATTATTATTGTATTCTATGAAATACTAATTATATAAATAGAGTTTTAACTTCTATCGAACCTTCGTCCCAAGTGGTATATGCAGCTTTGTGAAGCACTATTTATTTGTTGATTCAAACTTGTTTTCGTAACTTGGTCGGAGCGTCAGGAAGACCTT